TAGATATAATGGAGCATAATACTAACTTTGTTCTTACATTCCTAGTGTTACCCTGTATAAACACTAGGTTGCTGTTTTACAAAATACTGTACCAGGTGAGGCAGTCAGATACAGTGTATGAAGCTACATGTTTTATTCAAGGTATAAGTGGAAAGCAGCATGAGGATGATTTTGACTATGAAAGTACCTACAGCTTTTCAGCTAATGTTTGATTTTTCTTAAGTAAAAGGATCTAAATATTTAGATTATTCAATAATTCTGTGCAACAAAATCTATACTGCTGAAACGTTGCACTGGCAGTGTTTTCAACATTGTCATTTTGTCTTTCATATTGTGTATTAAGCGTCTGTAACTCTTTAAACACAGTGAGTAGCACATCTTTGTCTTAGTCTGTGATGCTATTGGGAAGCTCTCATTTAAGAGAGAAGTGCCTTGCTTAATGCACGCAGTATCAGTCCTGCAAAATACATAGTAACTAAAGTTACTCAAAAAATAGAATGTATGCCCAAAGGATATTTTAGCTGCTCTACACCAGTTTTAAAAGTACTAAGACTTTATTTCTTTAGGATTTTTTTTTTTCAGTACTCCTCACATCTGTTTCATTTCCTTTAGATCCAAAGCCTTTGTATTGTTTCACTTGTAGACTTTCTTTTAGTACTTGGTACATAAAGAGCACAGGCTAGGTTTGAAATTACACACTTCCCTAATTCAGGAGAAAGGTGTTGTCTATGATTGCATAAATTTGGTAGTGCATAAGAACCATGAAGACTTCTGTTCGGCTGAATGAAATACCGTCTGCCTTTGAATATGTGAACTGACAAAAGCACCAAAAATGCTACCATAAAGTCATTTAAACTCATAACTACCTATCCAGATGAAATTTCTGATACTGTCTTTCTGTTACACCCTGTTTCTCCAGTCTTCTCCCTGCATGTTCAGCTGAGGTACATTTTGCTAATGCAGGCAAGTACAACACACAGTTCTCTCTATTGGACGCAAAAGCTTTATACTTCAGAGTTGTCAAAACCATGTTCTAGTGACAGAAGAAACTATCTTGTTGCTATTGAGTATAAATTCTTTAAATAGGTTTTTCTCTGTATCTGCCTACTCTAGTTTTGGGGAAAACCAAATTTCAGTCGCTGACATACTTTCTGCCTTACTCAAGCATTTTTCTGAGGCTGCCACTTAAAATCTCTTCTAAATATATACAAAATTTCTGAAAATCCATTCCCTATTATTAAAAAGAACAGCAGACTGACAGGAATGAAGCACATCTCTGATTAAGCTGACATTAATTAGATGGTTTTAAAATTTATAAAATTTTATTAAGGTATAGTAAAGTAATTTTAGTTCAACATTTTCATACCATAGAACAAGAGATGGAAAAACAATAATTTGCATTTTAAAATTAATTTAGCAGTGATTTTGTTCCAATTTGTCTTACAGCAGTATTTAAATGCATACAACGAACTTTTTAATGAGATGCAGTAACTTTAAGCTCTCATCTTCTGACTCAGAATATGTAAGTTGAACATGAGGTCTATGAGGACTCAAAATAGCCCAGTCTGAACTGCCAAATGGAAAAGAAGCAATCATGGAACTGTTTACTTGGGAAAAAAGAAGTTGCTTGTGCTGTCAAATAGACAAACTATGCTCCATTTTCAAAATATGAAAAAGAATATAGGAGGGACACTAAGCAGAAAGAGCTTTGGAAAAATGTGGATTCCATGAAAGATTCTGAGCAGTCTCAACTTTCAGCCATTAACATTCATTTCACCCACTGATAGTTATGCTTCTATTACAAGGTAAGTAGAGGTCAGCAACTTTACAGCCCTCTAACTGAAAAAAAAAAAATAAAAATAAATCACTTATTTGTTAGATTCTGAGAAAATCGCAACATCTTTTAGGAGGTGAGTTGCACTGTAGAATGCAAATTATAATCTGCAGGGATCATCCACACTTTGTATCATCACTGCAAAAATCTTGTGTTGGAAAGAAAGGTATAATATATTGCAGCAGGATGAGCATATAGAGGTGTCTGTACCCTTTAAAGTTAGAGAGGATATAGGTTCCTTTGACTTCAGGATTTAGCTATAGTCTCTAAATCAGTAATACTTGAAAGTCCTCAAAGTTTATGGGTCAATATGAAATTGGATATTGATGAACTGTGATTTCGATAGCACAGGTGTCTGTGCATACAAGTACCAGACCAAAAAAAGTTCACGTTTTTCTAGGTAAAGAAGAGAACATAAGCATCATCAAATTGCCTGGGCTGTCAACAAATATGGATTTCCATTTACAAGGTTAACAGGACTAAAATATTGCTTTATATGCTGAAAGCTTGAAGTAAGTATTTAAAAAACAACTAATCAGGACCATTTAACAGACAATTACTGGCTGTACACTTTATGCCTGCAGAATGTTTTGATTTAGTTTGCTGAACATGTTCATAGTTTGCTTGCCATAAAATGAACTTGACATCAGTAGGAGTAGAATTAAAAAACCAGCACTCTTACAGGATGCTAGTTACTGAGACATAACAAAATGTGAAGAAACTGCAATTTTATTTTCATTTGTAAATGCTGCAAAGTATTTCTACATTATACATGGAATGAAACAACAGGTAAGCACTGCCACAATGGAATGAATAGTATGAAAAATCTCTATCACTGAAAGGAATTGAATTTTATATCTTTTAAAATAAAGGAAGATTACATTTTCACACAAGTTGGCCACTTAGATTTTAATAATATTGCTGAGGAGCTTTTGTATAATTATATAAAATACTGATGTGCTAGGAGAAAGCATTTCAAATGCTGCTGTGAGTTTATATATTGCACCTGCATATGTTAAAAGCCTCTTGTTTACATACTGCATCTTCTGCATGGAGATACATACACACATGCACTTAACGTACACAGAGTTTAAAGATCATAGAGTTTCAGAAATCATCTTTCCATGAATACAACTAATTTTTATTACCAGAACAAAAGAAAGGAATCGTGTTCTGCTACAACAATAAAACAAAAAAGTTAATTCTCTGCCTTTTCCTACTAATCTTATTTTGAGATTTTATGCAAAAAAATTGGACTATTAAAAAGTTGAATTAAGAATGGGAAAAATGCGTAGTAACTTGGTGCAGTAGTGCCAAAAGAGACAGGCATTCTCCTGTTTAATGAATTCTGCTAATTAAAAAAAAAAAGACAAGCCCAAAACAGACCCTCAAATAAAACCAAACCCAAACAAAACCTACCCATAAAATGTAAGTTAAAAGGACAAAACAAAACTGAAAGGAATAGACATTTAACTGGCAAAATACTAATTACTGGAAGCTTTGGGAACAAGGAAGTGGTACCATCCAAAACTGCTTATTACTGTATTTGCTTAAAGCATATACACACACGTATATATAAAAGCATAAAAGATAAACCACAACACACTAAAGATAGTAGAATTCTGCATAGCTACCTGTAAGAAAATGTCTTTCGTTAAGTTCTCCAGTTAACAAAAATTCATAGGCTTCAGGTGTGGGGAGTTCCCAGCTTTGAAACTGCCACAAACAAATAGAATAATACACATCCCTTCACTTTGTCATGCATGTCAGAAAAAAGGGTTTATCCTCAAGTATTTACTGTGCTTCTCTTTTGGATGATATTAATCACAAAGACAGAATACTGGAGTATTTGAATGAAACACACCACATTTAGGTGGTCTGATTTATAAATCTAAAAATAGAATGAAATTAAGCTTTGCATTAGCAAAAAATACAGCTTCAATAAAGAATCACGATAAGAGTTAAACAGCAGTCAGGGTTGCTGTTACATGCACAGATACTTGCTTGCGAAAACTGAAATGACTTGTACTACAGAACACAGGAAAAAAAAAAGAAAACGACACAATCCTAAGGCTCAGTGATTGGCGAGCTCCTGAAATGATAGCACAGGTCAAAAACTGAAATAAGAAACTTAAGTCTGCATACAGTGCCTTTTGCACAGATGACACAAGTTACTACAGTACATTGGAGGGTCAACAGAAATTAGAAGGAACGATAAAGGGAGATTTACAGCATGAACAACCAGCAATTTAAAGGAGCAGTAGTGATTTACTGATAATATCTCTAAGACTTAAATGTTGTTCAGAAGCAGCCTTGAAGAGGTGGCCCAGATTACCTGCAAGCCTGTCTATCTTTACATACATTTAAATTAAATAAATAAATAGATTGTCAAATGAGATCAGTTTAAAAATATTCCCCAGAAGATGCACAGGCTTTGAAGTGAAATACAAAAATGCTTTTGAAGCATGCATATTCATTCACTGATTTATTTGTGTGTGGTGCTGGTTTTGGTTTTTTTTCCTCAAGGAAAAATGTTTCCTATCTAAAGCTGTATGAATTAACAGGTTGTTAGTTTCACTAATTCACAATATACATGTTACAGCACAACCTTATTTTTAAGGTGAGCAGAATGTGCTGCAAGGAATTTGAACAATGCTGAATATAAAAATCACAGGCATAAGTACATTCCATCTATTTCTTTATCTGCAGTTGTCAATTGCCAGAAATTTCAAAAGCCAAGAGACTGTGACAACTAATATAAAACCAACTAGGTCAAGTAATACAAATTAGAAGTTTTAATCACATTATTTCATTTCTTACAAAGAAAGCAAATTCTGAACAGCCACAAGTGATGCAGCGTTTTATGACTGAACCACACAATGAGTCTTACAGATACAACTGTAGCATTTTCTAAGGCAAAGAAAAGAAAGCAGCACACTATGCCACATCCCGCAAACCCTGAAAATGAATCGCATCTTAATGAACCAGTTTGTTTAAACTCCCACTGGAAAAGCAAGCACATGTACTGTACACTAGCTACGCTAAGCTATCCTGCAGTATACACACCTTGACATATTAGAAAACATGCTGTAAGTATAGGCTAAAATCTACAGTCCCAAAGTCAATATATTAATAAAAGATTGACATGGAGAGAGACACTACCTACCCACAAATACATCATCATCTTGAAAGAAATCAAGGGCTCTGTCAGCAAACAGAAGTCTCCTTACTTCACCAAGTATATCTGGAAGGAAAACTGAAAACAGTGGGTAGAAAATCTTGCCTTTTTCTGTCAAGTCCTCACAGTTCTCTTCTCATACAAGGTATTTTTTTAGTTTATGAGAACAGCATTCGTTCAGTGGCTCTTTCTGCGTGTGAAGTGACTTGCTTCAGGCTGTCTTTTTTCTTCCCTTTTTCTCCCTAACTCAAGTCTGTCCTTTCTTTACTGTCAGGCTTGCTTAGGTAACAGTTCTTGGTGTATCTATTTAATGAGCAGGTCCGTGCACTAAAGGCAGCCAACTACATTGGAGAGAAAGCAAAAAAAGAAAAAATAGTAATAATAAATAAATAAATGGGAATATTCCACTTCCTGATTGTTATTATGGGATCTACAGACGCCCCCTCTGTAGGAATTTATAGGAGGATTTCTAAGACGTCTTGAGCAGGAGGGGAGGGGGGAAGGAAAGAGACAAAAAAAAAATAATCGCCAGAGAATGGCAGGTAACTCCAGTGGCACTCAAGCCATTACCTCCCCTTGCTAAAGGACCCAGCTCACAAATCCTGCATTTGAGAAATTTTTAAACTCAGAGCAAAGCTCCTACAGAAAAGAAAGGAACATGTACTGCACCCTGCCTCTCCTTTATCTCTTTAAATGTACTTCAGATAAAAGCCGCATCCAGTCGGGTCAAGGCCTTTCCCAATCTTATTACGCTAACACAAGAGTGTTCAACACACTTTTCTACAGCCATCTACTGACTCCATGGTGTTATTGCTGCTGCTGTTAGTACTGCTGGGAGATAAATGCCAGTGTGAGAAATGGGAAAATACAAACAGTAAATCAGATGACAGTAAAAGTGTTTGTGCTAATTTAATTTATTTTTGGCAGGTTTTGTTTTCCCCTTGCCATAGTATGTTATTTATAAAGCAAAATTAGAAGGAATTATCATCTGTATATTTAACAAATGCTAATAGAAATAACTTGATTTTTTGGTCTTTTTTTTTAAATTAAGTTGAAGGTAGTATGCAAATGAGTGAGTACACAAGGGACCTTTTTTCTTTTTTTTTTTCCCTTTTTCCTTTTTTATTGCAGCTTAGTCTTTTACCATTTGCTACAAGGAAGTATTTTTAAATGATTTTACCTGCCTCATTGTAACACTCAATATTTTTATTACATCGATCAACAGCATCCTCAGGTGAGAAACAATTTTCCAGTGTAAAGGAGACAAGCCTTGGTCACTTTTTAGGCTGCATTACTGGTCTTAAAAATCATCCCTGACCTTGTGAACTGGCAGCATATCATGCCGTTACAATAATATGCTTTTGGTACTGATGGAGAAAGCTACAAATGCAGTCTGTCCACTAAGTGATTCAAACACTACAGTATATACATAACGATTATAAATCAATGAATAAAGAAAAAGAGGTATAAAAATGCCCACAGGAATGAGGTTAAACAGAACTTTTATACTTGATTACTTACTATCTTTAGTCACAGACTGTGCACTTCTTCAGACAAAAACTGTCGTTCTTTTTAAGAAAAGACTCCAGTCAATTTACATATTCAGCCTAACCATACAAGGTAAAATGTCACTTAAATAATTAAAATGCATTAACTAAATTGCATAATCATTCTCTGCAGCAGGGCAGGTGGCAAATGGATAGGCACCTGCTGAAACAGCCTGTAAGAAGGAGACATAATAGCAAAGCAGGACTTGGAGGGGAGCAAACTAAAATCCATACCATTAAACAAATGGTAATCAGGAGAGTCTTAAGGACTCCTGCCACTGGGGTGAATTAAAAATAAAAATAACTGATATACCACTAACATTTCAAAGCTGGTTTAACAGAGAAAAATGAAACAACGAATTCATGTGACACTAAGATTTATATACAGAAATTTATACTGATAGATACATATACACACACTGAGCTATTTAAATTTGATCCACCAAATACTATGTACAGGTAAAGCAGGAAAGAAGAATTTAATGTACTAATTACTAAATTGATAGATTTTACATTAATGTGCAAGGACAATAATTTTAAGTAAGTTTATTACAATTCCATAAAGTGAAGCCACTTATTTCACTCAGGTAGTCTTCAGAAGGAAAAGAACAGCCTTTTGTTTACAGTTTTGGGTTGTTTAAATCATCTGCCAATTTAACCACCAACATTCAGCAATCAAAGAGGCCTAACCTTGTCACCTTCAAGCGGTATACTTTCACCTCATTTTGTCTGCTGTATAGTGCACTGTGTTCTTCTGTATTCAATTACACTATAATAAACTTGAAATATCCTGTTAGAATGAATTAGATTATATTGGTTAAGCTGAAAATACATTTTCTGATAATGTATCTGTGCGTCTGCCAGCCAGCAGTTCTTTCAGATCTGCGCACCTGAATTGAACACATGAGGCCTTAGAATCTTCAAACACTGGTTAAAGATTTTATTAATATGATAAAAGACTGTACACAGCTATTGCCTATAAATCACTTTAATATAAAAATTTCCCTGGTTTTGAGCATAGACAGCACATGAAACTCCAGTGAATTGTGTCCCAAGGCTCTCAACTAATCCTTCTGCATTCTAAATTCTTTTCATTATTAAATTGGTTACTCAATCAATTGTTCATATCTTCCTTACTCCTCCAAACAAGTGGAACAATTTCTAATGCTGCTACACAAAACCATTCACTTGAAATGTTTTATTTTTAGAACAGCTATTGCTAAATGCTTTGTTCATTAGATCATCTGCATTTTTTGCACGCATAGAAAAACATGGATAAAGAGAAGATTGAAAACAAGTATATTACTGGGGTTTTTTGCACTTATGATTGAAGTTTAAACAAAACCCTGTTTGTGAAGGTTAGTTTTTACATGTTCTGGATTTGCAAGCAGTGTCAAAAAAAAGTAAATAGAAGGTTCTGACCATGTAATTTTAAGAGCTGACCTTAGGTTCAGATCAAACGCTACTGAAATCAACAAGACTCTTGCTGTTCGTTTAAAGAAACTTTTGCAAATAGCAGTACATTATATTTGTTGTGAAACACTTATCCATTTCCTCTGATGCTACCAAAGATTTTTATACAAGGCTCTTCTATAGGGTATTGACAGGGATCTCAGCTTCAAAGCACACCATTTCTGTACCAGCTCATACCACAGCTTTAACTTTCATAATCCATCAGAATATCAAATATTGTGCTCATGAAATCACAAGGGATTGGTGAGATAAAGGATAGATAAAAATAGTTCATAATAGCAAAAAAAAGAAATAATAAATTGTGAAATCACAATTAATAAAGGTTATGTGTATATATATGTATATGATCAGCACACTTATTTGCACCTTAATAACTCAGATTTTTTAAAAAATCAAGCTGTAGATTCTGGGAGTTCAATTTCCTTATTAAAGGCACATAATTCATGGACATATCTTGGCATATTTATTAATGACACAGAAGATTAGAAATAGCATCAATACTGCTGCTTACTGCATTGGAAGATAAGAAAATGCAAACCAAGTTTCTCATAGTGTATGCAAGGTTCCTAGGAACTGCAAGGATGTTAAAGTGATCTCAGCGCTAAATGGCAGAATTCCTATTTTGCTAGTTGCTATACAAACATCTAGAAAGATACTGAAATAATGTATTTCACACTCTGATTGCAAAGAGAAAACTTTTATTGACTTTAATTTTTCTTTACTTTTTTTCTTTTTTTTTAAACTAAAGTCTCTGTACTTTAGAATTTAAACCTCTGTGTGTGTGTGTTAATATTGTTTTAAAATGCCTAATAAAAGAAGGAGTGAATGTAATGGTAATGTTTATGATCTTTTTTCAAACTCAGGCTTCCCCACCAAGAAAAGATACTGAGGCGGCACATGATACATGAGCTGCAACAACACTAAAATCCCAAATAATTTACACAGAGTACCAAAAAGAATTTGAAACATTTAGAGAGCTAGAAACATTTGCTTGTGCTTAATTTCCATACCTTACAGCCTCATCTGTCATTTATGGCTATTTATGAAAAGCTGCAAATGTTTAGGAGGTATGGTAAAACAAACCTTTAATCTGCTCAATTCACTGCAGTCTTAAGGAGGGGCCTGTTGTTTTTTTTGGCTTTGGGGTTTTTGTATTTCTGTATAACTATATAAAAGCAATCAAAATACAAATTTTACATATAGTTCAATTGGGTTATAAACTATTCCGTGTTTTCACTACACATACTTCTTTTTTTCTTATTTTTCAATTTATTTTTATTACTCAGCACTTCTGTAGCTTTTGATGGAAGAAATCAGTTTCTGTGTTCATTTGTTGGACAGCGAGGTCAGAATACTGTCCTAGAAAAGCCTGAGGAGCAACTAGCCAACAGTCTGATCATTAGACATCACCACAATTTCAAATACCAACTCAGCATTTCTGGCTGTCTCATGAATCCTGTTCAGTGTATAGTCCAAGGAATGACAAGCAGGATGAAGACAGACAGGACTTTCCTCTGATCCTAGACTCCGTGACACATGCATGGGATGCATACAGTTCATAGTTCCCCATACAACTAGGAATATGAAACTTGTTTTCCCTTTTCTTAGCATAGCAAGGTCAAGGGAAAAAACGTGAGGGGTCTGACCCCTTACCTGGTACATCACACTTCATTTGTGGTGTTTCTGTAACCAAGCGAGCTGCTTATTTCTCTCAACATTCAAACGCTTTATACTGACAAAAAATTTAAGAGAATTGAGAGACTACAGTTAAACCAAATTACTAGTGATCACTGTTCAATTGGTAACAGCTCAATCCTTTGTCCATAATTTCAATGACAAGTGCTATATTGTTGCCGCTTCTCTACTGCTTTTAGTGAGAAGAGACTTAGCCAGTAATTGTGACAACAAAAACCCTGGCAGCTGTAGGAAAACTTTACATACTCTCTCCTGTTTTTAAGCTGCCACAAGTGGGCTCCAGCTTCAGTCCTGGTAAAACAGGATATTGCTGGGGGATGATGATGGACTTTGTTTAGAATAAAGTCTGTGAAAGGAAAATAAAAGTTTACAAAATTCTCTCCAGGAGAATTAACACAAGGACAGCAGAATCAGAAGTTACTGGCTGTTAGAAAACATTGTTTTAACTAAATTTCCTGAAATTTTAGTGTGCTTCTCCAATTTTCACCTAGACAATGCTCAGGTGTTTTTGCAGATCTTCATCTTTATTTCAGATATTATGCTTATGTAGATAAAAAGAAACAAATCTGCAGGTAATCATATACTCTTGAACAAAGCTATTTGAATATCAAATATTGAGTACTGGTAACAAGTGGCTCTCAAGTTCTCTATTTCTTGAGATTTTATTTTGGTTGAATAAAATAATTAACTAAATAATTCTGGCTCCTCTTGAGCAGAAAAACTAATGTCACCAGAAGAAATTATCTCCAGGCAAATGTTTGCTTAGCTCTAAGAAAACATCTCCCCTCAAACAGCTTCCCTCAATATCTCCCCTAAAATCTCTTATTCAAGAGAATGCAAAAAAGATTCACAATCTTTAAATTAGAATGCATTTTTTAAATATGGCACAGGTTATTTCCATTTTCAAAGTAGGACACAATTATATTCTCCTCAGGACAGGCTAATCTGCTTATTGCTAACTACTGCTGCTCACTGAAACACAGGAAGATTCGGTTTTCAATATTACACTCAAGTTTGCTTTGGATAAAGATCTTTTACCCAGTAGTAGAGCCAACTAACACCATTCCTCTGCCCACATAAGCCAACATGCTTCTGCTAGCAGAAGCATAAACCAGTTCACATCCGCTTATGCAGGGATGGGGCAGATAAATAAGAGTTGCCTCACACAATAAATTAATACAAAGTTACATCCATGACTTCTTTATTTTTAAGTAATCACAACTTTCCTAAGGAAAGATCCTGTTTTAAAAATAGGAGTAGGAGCTAACATTTGATAATCATCACTCATATGATAAAAGGTTGCTATTACCAATGACTTAAGGACTTCCCTGTAATTTTCAGTTTATGAGTTTATGAATTGCTTTGTTATTTAGTGCAGGCTCCTTAAATCCTGAAGTCTTTATGCACTGGATAATAACAAATGGATCAGTTTTATCACTTACAGTAGTTGAGTAAATCATGAAACAGCTTACCTTTCAGGAAAGCCATCATATAGAACTTAGCAAACCTATCAGTTGTTATCTCTGACTCTGTATCTGACAAAACAAATTAATGCTTCCTCACCTTGTCACATTTGTTTAACAAGGTGAGAATAGCCTTGTAAATGAGGGTTAGTTATTGTGCTGATTTGGGAAGGGGCATGCATATGTGCAGGGCTGCGTGCACTCCGAGGCTGCCAGCACTACCACTGCTGTCAGTGCCACGGTTACAACAGCCAGGAGACTGAGCTGAAAACCTGCTCCTCCGCCACCTGAAATCTTGTCTTCTTGGGAGCAGTGCCAGAATTACCTCTCTATTAGGCTGCCTATATCTCTGCTGTTTTCCTCACAATATCCAAAACACCTCTACAGCAAAATTCTGGTGAAGGCAGGCATTGCCCATTTCCAGCCATGTAAAGTGATAAGTAGAAAAGGGGACTAGGGGGACACACAATATTTTATAGAGGCATGGGGGAATGAAAAATACAAAACTAAAATACATGAACCCCCAGAACGCAAATGAGGAAAATTAATCATGTAACAGAATTCATTGATATACAGAAATAAGAAAAGAAGATAACACAGGTGCTACTCACTCCCAGTATATTACCAGTCTGCAAGAACAGCACTAAGTGTTCTCTCAGGTAATGAAACAAGCTTAATGTGTAATTTTTAACCATAACTCACAATTTCTAGATTACCTGTGTCATTAAAGCTAGTTTTTGTAAACCATGTCATGACTGAAGTGTACAAAATCCCGTGTGCACAATTGCTAGAGTACTTTTTACACAAGTAGGCACTGTGTTTGATAAACAGGGTACTGATATATGCAATCCCCAGCAGACATGTTACATATTGAATTCTCCAGTCAAGTACATAGCCAAAGTGATGGTCTGGCAGTGGCACAGATCTGGGAAATATCTGGCTTCAGCATCTTGGCATTTTGTTTGAAATTCCTATTCCTCATTCTCAAGGAAATCAGATATTGCTTGAGGAGCTCTAATGGCACCATCACATGGAGAAAAGGAAGCTGTGATGCTGCACTTTAATAAATCAATGCCTCTTTGGCTGCCTTCCAGAACACAAAAACACTTTAGGCATCTTTGCCTGCCTTTCATTTTGTGTCTTGCAGGAGACTCTCCATCATCTTTATGTTTGCAGACATATTCTCCACAGCCCTACGTTCTTTTTGGCCTCTACCTTGAGACTCACTGAGCATTTCCCTTAGTTCATGTTTTTCCAGAAACCCTTGATATTTACTGGAACTATTTATGTATTCATGTCAAATCAAAAGTGAGACAATAGTTAAGGCTGGAACAGTGTTTCCATAATATGTGCAGTGTGCTACTACATGTATATGTATACCCAGACAGTTCTGATTTTCACGAGTGATGTCAAATTATTTTCAGATTAGTTCAAATATATTGGAAAACCATCTGTCAGTCCAAACTATGTGAGGGAACCCAGGGAATATCAAGAGAAAAAAAGTACAAATACTTATCTCCAGATTTAGAATTTCTTTAAACAGGACACGGTTGTTTTTGAAGAACAGGTATTTGTAAAAGAAGGTTAAGTGCAAGGTGTAACTACCTCTAAAGAAGTACTTGTGTTTATAGTAGTACAACACAGATAAGTAGCTGTAAATCCATACTACAGGTAAAGGCACACAGCATTACTCCAAGGAACACAGTGAGACACATAATTCTGCACTGTGTCCTCCACAGTGCTAGCAGAAAACCAGGTCACTATACCCTGTGCAGCATCCCCACAGGAGGAATAATTTTTTTTCCTTCCGGTCTTAAAAATTTTGGGAGTATGTAGCTTATTGCAGAAGGACAGATTTGGAGTACTTTTGCCTGTGTATATTAAGTAAGCAGATCAGTGTTCCGATTCTGTACCCATGTGCACAGCCACTGAGAGACTAGTAAACTAGCCAATAAGCAAACAAACGTGTAGACTTCAGTCCACCCCAGTGCTGCCTTGTACTAGCAGAAATTCCTTCAGCAAAGTGAAGCTGGATTCCCTGACTACACATTCTCACAATTACAAAGTTTATTTATCACACATTTATTTAGTATGAAATCAAAATAATAACAGTATTGTCTCCTTACATTGCTTGCCCATTCTTTCAGTTATTAAATTGACCGTACATTAGAGATGCTATGCTTACCTCAGACACTCTCCATTAGGAGGGATCCAGCCTGTATGCTAAATATTTAATTTGTGTTCTGAGATGCTCTGAATCTATGTATTTTCTATTTTCCTAAGGGGTTCATGCTTCACATCAGTTGGATACTTCTTTCCCAGCAACAAAATGCAAATTTAACTATTTCCAACAGCAAATGCACGTGTACCGACACTGGAACAAAACAAAACAAAGTAAATTACACCCCATTCTGAAGACAGTGAAATTCTGGAAATACAATCTCACTCTCAAATCAAAACGTAGATTTTCCCAGTAGTACAGACTAGAAATACTCACTTTTGAGTACCTGTGAAAACTGAGAATACCTTTTCTCTTCAGGAGGGAAATAGCATCACAATAAGTAATTGTTCTTCAATTTACAGTTCCACCTTTCATCACAGACAAATCACTAACATGAAAGCAACATTTTGAGGCAGCTCCAGATTACTCCACAGTTCTGAAGCACTGCTCATGACAACAAAAGGTTGTTGATACTTTGAGCTGGGCTGAAAGAGAGCATCCGCAAACGGCAAAGCAAACATCAGCTGCTTTTGTCTTCAAAGAAAATTATGCACACAAGAAAGAACAGTGCCTCTGTGACCACAACCTTAGGTAACAGTATTACTATTGCTTTTTTTCTGGAACTATGCTAGTCTCGGGCTCCACACAGAGAGTGAATTGCAAAACGCTGATCAAAGGAGTCTTAACCACTCTCAACTACTTTTCACAGAGCAAGACCTTGCTAAACCACAGTATCTCTGCAAAGTGAACACTGCAAATAAACAGTATTAAAGCATTTAAAGATACTTGGATTTCTTTAGCATATGAAATTTATTGTGCCAATATGTAAAAATGGCAAAGAACATTCAGAAATGGGTACCTTGTGTCCATTAAGGTAGTGTGTCCAAAGCACGTGTTACATACAGAACAAAGTAGTAACTAGTGAGCCTTGTTTTCCATGATGGCCTGCACTTCAAACAGGAAAATTGTAATGAGTGGAGCTCATTACTGCAATACTTCAGAGGCAGAAGGACTCCCGGACTGCAGTATCAGATTACATAAAAGCCTATATGGCTGCTCAGTGGTGACACTTTGCATTGTTTCCCTCTGAGCATTGAACTGAGATGCTCTCTGCACTGTGAGGAGCCTCCACATTAGCTGATGTTCTGAATTAAGGTCTTCCATGATTACGCATATTTGAACATGAGAGTCAGAGAGCTGTAACACCTAATTAAGCATATTGTTTTATTATCTTAGACTAAGATATATCTTTTAAGACTATTTCTATGTTACAGATTCCAGCACTGTTTACATTCTTTGCACCACCTGGGAAAGGAATAGACATGCACTCCCTGTGCCTCCTGCACTTAGCTGGGTAGTTACAGTCATAACTGATAGAGTGTTATATATAATGCACTACAGGAAGCGCAGAGAGGTGCATCACTACTGTGCTTCAGTTTCAGCAAGGGAGCAAAAAAAAATGCAGGAACATGACAAGCATTTGGGTGGAGTTTAGTTTACAAAACCATGCAGGAACATAAATCTGGTTTTGCTATTTACTGTAATAATGTCAAAACGGTTTGTTGCTACTCAGTTTTCTTCACATTATATTCATACTAATTGTAGTGTGATTACAGTTGCATACTTAATAAACTTTTTTCTATTTTTAATAACTCCAGCATTTTCCAATGCTTTCGAAATAAAGCTTGGATGATTCTGAATCAAACGTGGAAATACTGTTTCAATTTGAAAAATGAGATTTTGTTTTCTTTCAACCTTTTCTAAAGGTTGGACCAGATTATATTTCAAGGTCCTGGGTTGTTCTACAATTCTGCAGATTAGGAATGACAACATCCTGAGAAATAACTGAATAGTGTACAGAATAGAAATTAAATTCTGTTTTCAGACCAGTTATATTTATAGTGATTTCAGCTGATGGCTCCTAGGCAGTCTTCTGGGAGAATGATTAACAGCAAAGAAACTTTCTGCTCAAAGTGGCAACAAAACTGTATCTAGGTGAGATCTGTAACACCCCTGACTGTATACACCATGTATCTCCACTGTCCCTAATACGAATACTCAGAAGAGTTGTGTGTAACCACTTAGCTATAATTTTTACAGCGCTTCTTTCTATGTGTACATTTATTAACAATTTTAAATTCTCCAACATTTTTTTATAACCACAGCACTCATTTCACTAACATGACTTTTGAAATAAGTAATTACAGAACTGTTAATAAGATTTCCAGAAATGCTTTTGCTTGTACAATTTTAACCATTAATTATATTTCAAATGCATCTCAGTCTACATCACTGTGTTATTAGGGTAGGTTACTAAGGTTTTGTTTGCAAGGGATTAAGAACTCTGTTGACTGATTTTATTAGGATTTTAAGATGCCTCTGTTATCACTGGCCTTTGGCTTAGGTAGAGGAGCTCCTTTTCATAGCAAGTTTCTCATTCCCCATAGTTACTCCTGATGGAGGCTGTGGAAACATACTCGTTTTCACTTCACCCTTCGCCCCAAAATACCCATAGTTCCATTTTTCTCACCTCAGTCTTTCAAGCGTGTAGCTGCTAAAGAATATTGTTCAGTGCCTTCAGAAGAACAAAGCCATAGTTGGGTGGCAGCAAAAATATAACTAATACAATGAAGAACTTTCCACAGAAGCATTTTAGTAGACCTTATTTATGATTTTTACCAGCCTTTTAAAACTGACTGCTGTTAACTGATTCATGAACACTGTGGCTCATTCATGTCACCTCTGTTTTCATCTACATAAATAATTTCTGATTGATTTAGTAATTTTCCATTATTCCTAGCTCCACTTCCTAGAGAGTAGAGTAGGAAATGGAAAAAAAACCCAAAACCCACAAACCCTAAACCAGCAACAACAGATAAGCTTAAAGTTTTAAGACTTCAAAAGAAATGTGGGGGTATGCATTTATTACATTGAGGTCATATGGAATATTTTTTGTGAGCTTTAACGTTTCTGCTTCTGAATCCTAGAAGGAGAACATATATACTAAAGAAAGTTAAAAAACATTGGAAAAACTCTGTGAATACAAATAAAAGCCAGTGTCTCTCATATAATTACAGAATTGGTATAAGCCAGAGATTCCTCTGGAAATGGAAAAACTAGTATCTTTTCAAAAGAAGAAGTGAGTGGGGAAAAAAAATATTGTTTTGGGTCAGAGGTGTCATAATTTTAATGTACTGAATAGAGTACGGAAACTTCTTTTGTAGCCATTAGACCTTAAGAGTATATAGCAAGCATGGCTCACTGCTGCCAAAACAGAAAGAACTGTATGGCTTTGTCAGCACATGATGACTGCTTGGTTCTGATGTTAGTATGTGAAGAAATTGTACAATTTGGAGACATACAAGTTTAGAAAAGTTTCTTCATATTTTAGTCATATTTTTCCAACTTTTAGATGCAAATGCTTATGCACATAAATGTGTGCCTAGAATTATTAGTAAGCATAAGTGTTTGCAATACCTTTATGCTAAGTAGCAAACAAATGATTAGTTATCTACATCAGAAGTTGAGGCATACAGTTGTGATCAACATAATTCGATAACGAAAAACTGTGAGAATAACACAGAAGATTAATGTAATCTACCTTAAAATTCAAGACAATCTGTTAAGTTAAGAAGGTCCACCAGAAATCAAGGGTGTATCTGAACCATAAACTATTTGGGGCAAAGGTGGTATCTTACACTGTGCTTGTACAGTGCCTGTAATTTATGATGCTATATAAATGATTTTTAGCAATGATGAAAACAGTTGTAGAAAGCTCAGCTCAGCAGAATAGGAAAATAGAAGAAATGAGCTGATAGAATATAAAGTAATCTATAGCACATACGGAAAACCAACCAAAGGAAATTACTAAATCAAGGTAATAAAATTATTAATTATGTGCTCTTTGGAGGGCAGCTGCTATCAAGTAGGAAAGTGACCTTGAGATGAAGGCCACATTTTACTTTCAATATTGTACTCAAAAGATCTTAAGAATTCAAAGGAAGAGACAACTAGTACAGGAAAGAGAAATGCTATAAAATACAATATATCTGGTTTTTTGCTCATTACCTATGGACTACCAATCTATATGGCATTTGAGTACATACTTTGTATATATCTATAGACACTGTGTTACATAAGGGCTTAAATTTCCAGTATTAGTGGAGCATGAAAAAAGCTGTGATATGATGTACTTGGTTCTTGTATCTCCCTCCCCTGTCTAAGCCATACTGTCTTTAAAGGTAACATAGATGGTCAAGCTTGGAAATACCTAACAGCCAGCAGATATGTGTGTGTGTGGGAGGAAACATTCCTGAGTCAAGGTAAATTTCTCCCAGGGGTGAGAAACAATAAAGATGTTACAAACCAGCAAAGCATTTTTAGCTTTCTGGTAAAAATCTTCCTGGTTTATAAAATGGATCCTCTAGACAACATGCTATGAACATAAAAACACCTACTTACTATTTCTTCCATCTCAACCAATTTGTCCCCAAGTCTGTACTGATGCTGGCAACTGCCCCAACTCCAGTGCAGGACCTAGCACTTGTCATCATTGAACTTCATGAGTTCACCTGGCCCCACTCCTTAACGGTGTCAAGGTCCCTCTGGATGCTATAGCTTCCCTCCAGCATGTCAAGTGTACCATGGAGCTTAGTGTCATCAGTAAACTGCTGAGGGTGCACTTAATCACACAACATCATTTATCAAGACGTTGAGTAACGTTGGTCCCAGTTCCCTTTTGTCATGTTCTCATCATGGTCTTTTAGGACCTGCCAACTGTTTTGGTTTTATTCTCTTCCCTCTTTGAAGATTGTAGCACAAGATGTCTCTCAAGCATATATACATGGAGCAAAGGAGTTGCCCCATTTCAGTGACAGGTATTGGGCATATTAGAATGGTGATGTGCAGAGTATTCATCATCAGTTCCTTATGGTTGTTATTTCTGCTCTTAATTTTTAGTTTGACTCAGAATACTTTTTTTCTCTGGGCAGGCCACACGTACTGACATAACTGTCATGTTGCTCCGCTGATGAAATGCCAATGTAAATGGACAAACAAACTTTCATACTTGGTATGGATTCAATATATTAAAAAAAGCACTTTCCAGCGTATATGTATAC